TGGTGGTGATGATGCGCGCGCTGGCTGGTCCAGGCCTGATGGATACAACTGGAGCAAGCGTGCCGGTCTGTATGCGTACGCGTAAGCCTCTGCATGCCGCACAGGAATCAAGATGCCAACGCTCACAGGAGTCATGCAGAGATCTCCAACCTTGAGATCCTGCTCTCTTCTTACTTGCCAGTCTTGACCCTCCTTGACCACATACAGCCGATTGGTGGCAGCACTATCCATTGTGGCATTTGTCACATGGGGGACGCACTTTGAGAATGCGATCGTGCGCAAGGCGGATAATGAGAACAACAGATCAAGAGATTGTCTGGTGGAAACCCTTTGAGGGGACGGGTGCATGTGCGCGCAACGATGACGTGCGAGCGAGTGTCGTCTTTCAATCCCAATACTCCTGCATCCCGGTCAAGAAGGCAAGAGCAGAAGGTGTAGCCTTGCAGATAAAGCATTGCACACGTGCCCAGAGCATTGAACTTTTGCACTTTGACCTTTACTGCTTTGCCATTGCCCTCTAGTTTCCCTTGACTGTCATCAAAGACAACGCAAGCAGGTTGTGCAGCCTCTATTCCTATGCTGCAGGACGGAGTGTCTGCCTCTATTGCGATCAAAGCAGCCACAAGAATGCTGCAGATGACTCCAATCAATTGCATGGGCTCTGCCTTGCCCCTTGAAGAAGGGATTGCGGGCAGAGTGGTGACCAGACAAGTGTCTGGCACATTGGCATTTGGCAACTTGATCCGCAGCACGTACAGCAAAAGCATGAACGGGATGCGTATGGTCTTTGGAGGGGTCTGTGCACAATAGTGTCCTACCAAAGGTAGCAAACAATGGCTCCAAGGATATCTTTCCTTCAAGCTGATGCTCCCACGCTGGACAGCGTTACATCTCCTTTTGCCCTCATCCTTGAGGAGACGGACACATTCAAAGCAGAGACCCCAGGACAAACCTTTTCACGCGCAGCTCAAGGTCAGCCTCTTGGAGCTGAATGTGGAAGCATGATTGTCGCAAATCTTGACCAAGCGTCAAGCAAGATGTCCAGCGTGAGAATGGATAACCAGGTTGTTTGAGAGAATGTGGAGGCGCTCATGGAAGAGTGGTCTATTCTCAGAGAGGAGGTCAAACATCTGCAGCGCACCTTCTCAAGTTACCCGCCAGCAATTTGCGCCGCTTATGACACCATAGCACAGAGCAAGCATAGTACCTGGAGTGTCCTCACAGTGCTTTTCCCAGACCAACTTGCATGCGTGCAAGGTGCTCAGCTTCTGG